GTGGATTTGACATTTGTGGCATCGCCGAACAAAGCCAATACAATCCTTCTCCATGGTTAACCAGTAATAACCCTGTCTAAGGATCTTCCGGGCTAGCATCACCCCGCTCATGTGTGCTCCGTACTCTCCTCCATGGATGGCCTGCATCAGGCGCTTGGATTCTTCAGCATCGACACACAGCTTATGCATCCCGAGATGACCCCGCTTGTACAGTTTACCCCCGCAGACGATGAACTGAGCAGCCATTCTTCGAATTGCCCTCTTATCTTTGGCATTTGCCCCTGGCGGATAAGCTTCCTTTTCCAAGAAGTTCCAGATGTCGTAATACTAGGGGTTCTGATCTTGTACCTCATCTATGGAAGCAATTAGCTTGTAGGCCGGCATGAATTTCTGTTCAATGATGATCGGACGCATCCGGACTCTGAAAGGGATGTCTATTATAGAAGATAGAGTTGTTAATGAATCAAGGAACCTGTTGTTCTCTCTTAACAGATGAGCGAAGTTCAGTTTCTCAAACCGAGGAATCAGAACGTCCAAGCTCTGGTGATAAATTCTCATCTTTTCTTCTTTGACTTTCCAATCTCCTTTAGCTTAAGATACAATGAGGTTCGAGTCCCCGATGACATCCAACCATTTTGCCCTTAGTTGCAAGGCAGCTTCTAGTCCAGCAACACATGCCTCATATTCTGCCTCATTGTGTGACACATTGAATCGGAGTTTGAATGCTAAAGGTATGCGGGAATTGTTGGGCGCTATCAGCAACACCCCTATCCCATACCCGTATTGGTTATCGTCCAGGTCTCTTCTTCGACATGCAGAATGGCCTCGTTTGGGAACAAATACTCAACTGCTTCATCCCCGTCCACTGGGTGATCGGCTAGGAACTCCGCTACCACTCTCTTTTTCACTGACTTGCGTTATGTACTTCAGATCAAATTCAGAAAGCAGAAGCAACCAACGGGCTAGCCTACCCGTAAGTGTCGGTTTCTCGAAGAGATATTTGATGGGATCTAATCTCGAAACCAGTATTACAGAGTGAGCTAACAGGTAGTGCCTCAACTTCCTAGTAGCCCATACCAAGGCTAGACAAGCCTTCTCCAGCGGAGTGTAGCGGGTCTCGTAATCCAGCATTTTCTTGCTCAGGTAGTTGATAGCCTTCTCCACTTTGTCCTCAGACTCCTGTGCAAGCATGCATCCCATTGTCATTTCGGTCACTGATAGGTACAAAATCAACGGTTTCCCCGGCTCAGGTGGTGACAACACAGGTGGGTTCTATAAATATTGTTTGATCTGCTCGAAAGCAATTTGGCATCGGTCGTCCCATTGGAACTTCTTTCCTTTCTTCAGGAGACCAAACAGTGGTTCACAAGTCAAGGTTAATTTTGTAATAAACCGTCTTATGAATTGCACTTTGCCCCAGAAAGCCTCGCACCTCCTTTTTAGTCCTCGGTGGTGGCATTTCTAAGATGGCCTTGATTTTGGAAGGATCGACCTCGATACCCCTTTGTGTGATCAAGAACCCCAGTATTTTCCCTGCTGTAACACCAAATGTACATTTCTGAGGATTCAGCCGCAACCGATACTCTCTGATCCGTTGGAAGAAATTCTGTAAGGCGTTGTGGTGGCCCTCTTTTTCTTTGGACTTGACAATCATGTCGTCCACGTACACCTCAACCTCTTTATGGATCATGTCGTGCAAAATCTTGGTCGCAGCCCGTTGATGTGTAGCCCCAGCATTCTTCAACCCAAACGGCATCACCCTATAACAATAGGTTCCCCACCGGGTGGTGAAAGCAGTCTTCTCCCTGTCTTTGGGTGCCATCAAAATCTAATTGTAGCCTGAAAACCCATCTATGAATGAGAACAGCGCATGCCCAGCAGTGAAGTCCACTAATTCATCGATATGCGGCAGAGGAAAGTCGTCCTTCGGATTGGCTTTGTTGAAATCCCTAAAGTCCACATATACTTTAATTTTTCCGTCCTTCTTCGGCACCGAAACTATATTGGCCAACCAAGTAGGGTATTCAGATATCAACAGGAACCCTATGTTGCTTGGTGACCTCTTCTTTGATTTTCAGAGCCCAGTCCGGACGGATCCTTCGGAACTTCTGCTTAACAGGCCGGGCCTCTGGGTCAAGAGGGATCCGGTGCTGTACAATCTCAGGATCGAGTCCAGGCATGTCTTCATAGGACCACGCGAAAACATCTTTGAAATCTTTTAATAAAGTGACTAAGTGCTCACGCTCCTCCGACGACAATGTGGACCCGATCTGGACCAACCGCAGGTCCTTCTCAGTACCAACATTAATTGTGGTGATTTCATCAACCAAAAGTTTTACAAACCTCTCCTGCTCTTGATCAATCAAACGTTGTAAAACCGGAGGAATTTCTTCCTTGTCATTTTCATCAAAATTTTGAAAGTCTTGATTAATACAATAAATTAAAGGCACAGAAAAGTACTCGGAAGCCACAGTCTTACCATTCTCATTAATAACATCCAGTTCGCTTGATTCCTCTGTTACAACAGACTCAAAGGAAAAAGAAAAAGACGACCTGGACAGGACAATGGCATCCAGGTTATCACCCCCAGGAATACTGGACTCAGACTCAGATGAGCTGGAACCTTATTTCGACTCCACAGACTCAGTGGAATCAGATTCCGGCTCACTACCTGACCCAGTGTTGCTTGATAAAAAGCCCTCTTTGTATTGCCTGACGAGGAAGGGTGCGATGGATGCATCAAGAATGCCTGAAGATGGACCCACAGCCGCTTCATCCCTGATCATGGAAACTGAGAAGTTATCTCCCAAGCACTCTGGTACGATCTGAGGATCTGAGAGGAGACAAGCCAGTGCTACCCCCATTTCCAATTCTGTGCTCTCAGAATCCTCCTCCTTGCACTGCTCAGCCTCAGCTGGTGGGTCTGTCTGCTCCTCGGCAACTTCATCCCCGGACAATTTCAAGTCAAAGAAAATCTCAAACCCCGGCAAGCGCCACCTCTCTGCATTTAGCCATGGCTCTGGAAAGCCGCAGAATAGGAAGTCTTCCCCCTCCCAGACAAAGCGTCCGTTCAGGGTCCCCTAGATAGGTCAGTGCACCAACTCATAATGCTTCCCGGCTTGTTTGGCTCTGGCTCTTCCAGCCATCTCTTTTCCTTTTCTCGCCCAATCCTCTTTGGTAGGTAGATAACCTAAGCCAAAGGTATATGGGTTATGCGGTACTTCGACTGATGCTGCAACGCCTTTCTGGCCACTTCGCCCTAATCCCATCCCGGGCATGTGCTAAAGCTTGTTCATATGATAGACAGACTGTGCGCTGACATATAGCCGCTCATCAACAGCTATCATGTTTTGTACAACCCGGGTCTCAGCTAGGGTAAACCCTGACAAAAACACATCCTCCGCGCCATGCTCAATCTCCAAAATTGGTGTAGAAACCTCTGGCGGCGGATGTATTGAAGAATTCCCAAAAACGATTGCCACCCTCTTCCCGTGGGGGTACTTCAGCATTTGGTGCAGGGTGGAAGAGACAGCCTTCGCCTGGTGTAGCTACGGCCGCCCTAAGAGTAGATTGAAGGTTGCGGGAGCATCCAAGACATGAAAATCAATATCCTGTTACCCCGGACCAACCTGAGTCCGAATCTGTACAGCCCCCATCACCTCTCGGCTGGTATTATCATAGGCCCGTATCATTTGGGCAGTAGGCACAAAATCCGTGGGCTTCAACCCGATAGCATACGCTGTCCTTGACGAACACACGTTGATTGCAGATCCTGTGTCAACCAAGACCACCGATATCTAGTTCTCTTTGCACTCCATGGAGATATAGAGGGGTTTGTTATGATCTGAGCCCTCAGGCGGTAGTTCCTTGTCAGTGAAGGTCAAGGTCGGGAAAGCTCCTCCCGGGAAAACCAGTCCTGCTAACTGTTCAGGAGTTGTATCGATTGAAAGTTTAGCCTTGTCCATTGCAGAAAGGACAGCTTGTCTGTGAACTCTGGAGGCCATAAACAGTCCCCAGATAGAGATGTCTGCTTGGATTTTCTTAAGTTGTTTCAGTACAGCCTCCTCCTCCAGCAGTTTTTCTTTTTGCCTCTTGGCTTCTTTGTCCTTTTCGGACGTCTCTGGCTGGTCCAAGTGTGGGGGTTTGAAATACTGCCCACATCTGGTCATGCGGTCAACCTCCTCAACATACCACGTGTCATTTGGTTGGGTCTGCTCCCAGTCTTCGTCAGTGTGGGCAAGACATAAGTTGTCGTCTTCCCACCACATCCCGTTGGCAACCGACAGACAGCTGTCCGGTTCTATTGTAATTGTTTTGGTGCTCACAGCACATTCCGTCCCCGCAGGGGTCTTGGCCTTCCTAGCCCTCTCAAGATCCTCAATCTTTTCTTGCTCAAACCTCTTCAATGCAGCCTTTTGTTCGGCGCCTGCTGTACATAAATTGTCCGGTCCTCGAGCATAATTCTTCGCACCGGTGCTCTTCGGAGATGCTTTTCGATTCTCGGCCGACACAGCCACTGCTGATATTCCGG